TCCTAGTCAGCTTCAGCAGACAGCTCTAAGAAATCATATAGTCTTCTTATGTCAACTACAGAGTTCAGAACAATTCCAAACCTTTTACTGCACCTTGAGTTGGTGATATGATAAAAGCATGGGTTCTTGAATCAAATTTCTAGATTGGAGTTCAGTCTCTTTCACTGGGGCAAGTGTCTTTGACTACTGTGTGCTATAGTTTCTTGATCAGTAGAATGAGTACAATAAATAGCTGCTTCATAAGATGATTATAAAAATTAAATAAATTATACCCTTAAAGGTTTTAGGTCAGTGTTTGGCATGTTGGCAAGCAATAGGTAAATAATAGATCACTTTTATTATAAACATAATTGTATTATTGTCAAGAAATCATCAGGAATCATAAAATGCAAAATACTATGGAGTGCTTATTACTGCATGGGCATGACCTGCAGGACAGCTTAAGTAGGCATGGTCTCAATTTAATATAGCAATTAGTTTCTATGCAGCAAGTTTACTATTACTTGGAATAATTCCTTGGAATAAATACACTGTAATATTACTTAATTTACACTACTTAACTTTTTTTGAAAATACATGTGCTAAACATTTACATAATTCAGATAAACTTTGAGATCAGATGTGGTCCAATCTCTATGCAGAATATAGAAAAATCACATATTCCCCAAAGTTTGAAAAACAATGTAATCTGAGGTCATCTAATCTGGAGTTATCACTTTGAATTACTTTAAGGTAGTGTGTAAAGAATGAATAAGAAAATTCAAGTTTCTAGTCTATTTGGTTATTACTTCACATGTTTACTAAAATTCTAGTCATTCTATCCCTCTTTTTATATAACACAAAACAAAATTATTTATCAGTAGTTCAACATTTATTCTCTTGGATAAGCTTCTAATGATGCTGTCTACAATTAAAATAAAATTTATGACTATATCAGCATTTTAATTTTGCATACTTAGACAACCAAGTAGCTTACAGAGAAAATAGTTTCAATAGATTTCTCATAATTTATGAAGTGCTTTGGATGATATCTGGAAAAGCACTTTGTAACCACCTACATGCTATTTAAATGAAAATTAAAACTAGAATTGGTTTTATTTTCTGTTACTCCCTCCATATAACCCCAGCTACAGCAGCTGGATTTGAGGTCATTGTCAGAATACATCATGCCTTTTCATACTGCTTTCCTCTCCACTTAGAAGTGCCCCCTCCCTTTGTCTTGCCTCTGAAAGAAAGCACCAAGGACATTTCTTTGATTTATCCATCCTCCCAAAGTAGTAGCTTCCTCTTTTTTAGCTCATTCAGTTCAGTAATTTAGCATTCAGTGAGTTCTTACTATGTTCTCAAATAAAAAAGAAATCATTATTTGCTTGTCTCATGTCCCCCCTTTAGCCACAAAATAGAATCACCTGCTGCTCTACCCTCTTGCAGATGTTTCCTCACAGAAAGTGCGTTGATTTAACTGTTTGGTGAGACAGGCAGAGGCCCCCGCTCCTCTAAACCACATTAACCTCAGGAAGAAGCCTTTGCATTAAAGGCAGGGAGGTTGTCAACCTCATTTAGCTGCAAACAAGAAAGTTTGAGGTAGGCTGAAATCCCCACTGGGCTCCTTGAGCATCTGTTTGCAGACCTGATTGTGCATATACATGGATCCCAAAGTCAAGAAACATTCAGGTGGACGGATGGGTGGGAAAATCCTTTTGCTTTTGGGCAGAGCCATGCAGATGAAAGAGTTTTTACTATTAATATTAATAATTTCCCCAATCTGTCTCCCTATTTTTTACTAGTATAAATTTACCTTTATTACTATTATTATTAGTATTTTGTTAACTATATGTTTGTGATACATAATGAATACATTCATCACAATGAATTGATATATATGTATATATATAATATATATAATGAATTCTTTTTATTTTCCCATCTCCTATTTCTGAGTTGGCTAAGAACCAGTAGAGGCAGAGAAATGTGATTAATTACAATTCCCTCATAACCCCAACTTGTATTTCAAGAACAAATACTCTTTTAAAGTGTTAAGAAATAGGTCTTACATTCAAGGAATTTACAGTTCTAGGCATTTCCACAAAATCTGGCATCTAGCTGTATAACATAATTTAACCACTAGCTTATAATTTGTTCTGTCTCTACTTCTTCATTTATACTGTAAGCAGTGTCAGTCCAGAATAGACTCTTTCCCAACCATGTAGTCTCAGAATATAACAAACTCAGAGCCAGGGATATAGCCCAGTGGCACAGCACCTGCCTGGCAATCACAAGGTCTTAAGTTCAATTCCTGGTACACACACACACACGTGTGTGTGTGTGTGTGTGTGTGTGTGTGTGTGCAGTCACCAATTGTTTTCAGGTGAGGCAATGCCATGGAATGCTTACCCTGATTGACTTCAAAGTAAGCCTTGCTTTTAAAAATCAATCACTCTAACTAGTTTTTAGGTCTGTAAGTTGATTTCTAGCATTGAACTTTCAGTTCTCATATTCTCAAGTGCAGCACAAACTTCTATAAAATAGTTATGTTTTCTTTTTCACTTGCCATTTTTACTTTCTGGGTGGGTGGTGAGGCCCTTCCTGTACCTATGTTAAAGAGAACTTTCCAAATCAGTCTTTTCTACACCTGTATCTTGGTTTCCTACCACTCTTGCTAAGAGAGATAATTTCATTACTAACATGTTCCTAGAGATTCCTATACTTCTGCTTTGAGAGCTATCTTTTGAGCAGCAGGGAGCAGGTGACTTATTTCATGAATATAATAACTTATTCATTCAACATAATTATTTTAATATGCCATGCACTGGCCTATGAAATTAAAGAGCAATGTAACAGAATCTTCACTCATAAGAAGCACAGAGTCTACTGTGGAAACAAAGATAACAACAGGTAAGTGCTATGATTACCATGAAATAAGCCATATTATACTTTGGAAGAAAACACTTGCAAAGGATTTACCTGATGAAAGATTATAATCCAAATTAGACAGAGAACTCTTAAAAATTCAATAAGAAAATGAATAATGAAATTTTAAAAGGGCAAAAGATCTGAACAGGCATTTCACCCAAAAAGATACAGAAATGGAAAATAAGCCTATGAAAATATGATTAACATCATCTGTCATTAGGGAATTTCAAACTAAAGCAAACAATAAAATAGCACTAAACACTTACTAGAACAGAAAAATTCCAACACAGCAAACACTAAATACTGGCTAGGATGTGAAGCAACAGGGACTTTCATTTATTGCTCGTGGGAATTTAAAATAGTACAATCACTGTGAAATATACTTTGAAGATTTCTTACAAAACTAAACATCCTTTCACCATACTGTCTAGAAATTACCTACCTTCGCATTTACCAAATGAGCTCAAAATTCATATCCACACAGAAATTTACACACGAGTGTTTACAGTAACTTCAAAATCACCAAAATGTGGAAAGATCCAGGATGTCTTTCAGTAGGTAAATGAATAATAAACTGTGACACATCCGACTAATGAAATGTTATTGAACATAAAGAGAAAAGAGCTATAAGCAATGGAAAAATGTGAAGAAATTTAATGTGTGTAACTGCACTACAAAAGCCAATCTAAAACCCTGCATGGGCTCTGAGCCCAGCAATATCACATTCTGGAAAAGACAAGATAGGATTAAATAATAAACAGATGATTCCTGGGTCCCAGGAATTTGGAGGAAGGGAGAAATGAATAACAGGAGCACAGAAGGTTTTTCCAAGCAGTAAAACTGTTCTGTATGTCACTATAATGGTGGATGTAGGTCATTGTATATGTCAGAACCCCGACTGACAGCACCACACGCAAATCCCGAGGCAAGTTAATATCAGACTGATTTAAAGTAAGGTTTAATAACTTTCCTTTCACATTGGAAATAACCAACAAGGTGACAACTTATGAAGAATCATTAAATTGTTTGCCATCTATAAATTAATAAATTAATCATGGAAATATTACTGAATAGATTTATTTGGGGAAATAGCATCTGTATCTATGACAGTCTTTATTAAGAAGAAAGGAAAACATGAATGACATGATTTTTACAAGTTTTGTACAAACATGATGAATCATTGATAGAGGTGAAATTATTATCAATATTATCTTTTACTACAAGACATGTTAAGCAGTTCCAAACACAGTAGACAGAAATAGTTTCTTTTAAATTAGAGACCATTATGAAAGTACTGCTCACTTTGGTGTGTTTATCTAATCAGGGGACAGCTACACACTTCCTCCCATAGTTCCTGTTTCTATTTTTAAAAATACACCAAGCAGCGCTTCTGATAGCTCTTTTACATAACTTGCTCACAGATGAAGCTTGGTTGAACAAGCCTACCTAGAATCCGTTGCTTTAAAATTCTAGGTGTAATGATGCTGACTTGATAACAGTGATTCAAAAGCAACATCCGCAGCTCCAAATCCAAGAAACTAAAACGTAATGTGAGCATTACATAAGAGAAGCTTCACACCAAAACCTTATTTTTGGCAGGTGTGTGTGCATTGTCTACTCACACTCTTATTCTCACTATTTCTCACTCTCTTCTTTAAATGACTCATTTATTCCAGTATTTCGCATTTCCCAAGCAAACAAAATAGAATGTGAATTTGATCAGTTTCTCATGTACCGTTTGAGTAAATCATCTACTCCCTCTGTACACTAACACACACACGCACTTGCACACTCACAGATGACATTCATCTGTTCAGCAGCTCCTGTATTTCTTCACAGTGGGTCCTAACTTTTGTGCTTTGCTTCATATGAAGACAACTGCATTATTTAGCAGCAGCACCTGAGAACACTAGCCTCAAGCTCTTAAATAAAGCTGTAGGTTATATTTGAAATAATTAGACTCAAGTACTCCAGAAATTCAGAGAATCTAAAACTATCTCTTAAGTGGCTGCAACCTCAGATTTTATTTTATTTTATTTTATTTTATTTTATTTTATTTGCAGTACTGGGGATCAAACTCGTGACCTTGTGCTTGCCAGGCAGGAGCCTATGCCACTGCGCTATATCCCCAGCCCCAACCTCAGTATTTTAAAATGAATAATTATCAAATTGTAAAGCTTCACTACACTTGATTTGCTCTGGTTTCTTATAAAAACAAGGGACAGCTGTCTTTTAAAGTATGTGGTCCCCTATTGATCAACTAAATAGTCTGAACTCTTTTCCATTTCTTTCATTGTCCTTTTAATTTATTTTCAGGTCAAACATGAGGCAGTTTAAAAGTTGAATCTGTACATGCCCAATAATACCTATTCTCCTTGGTTTGCATGTGTATTTGGATGTCCACAAAGATACTCACTCAGCAGCATTATGACACATTTTGGTCTATGTCACCCAAATACTGAGTCACATCTCTGCTCATAAATCCACTTTACATCGTTTACTCCATTACTAACTATATTTGCTTTCCAATCTAACAGGATAGGTATAAGTGTTTGTTTGTCAGGTGTGGGAAACCTCTAGTCCACATCCAGTCAGTGCATTCTATAGAGGTACTCTGATGTATCTGCACCTGTTATTCTTCCCATCCTTTTCTTATACAAGTTTATAATTTTTCTTTATATCTAAGAAACACTAGCCTGAGAATGACATAGAAAGTTTTCTCCTCATGGAAGATTGGGAACTTACAATCATTACTGTGTCTACAATTAGTCAAATTAAGACATTCATTATTTTTCAAGAGTGTGTAGTGAACCGATCAAGATAACACAAACCTCTCTTTCCTATGGGTCTCTCTGGTAGCTCCAAAGGAAACATGGAGTTTATATATTAGGTAAAATCTAACTAACATTAAATATTCTAGAGAAAACAACTTTGTTGGCCAATGCTATGGTATAGAAGTTCCCTAAAGAAGTTTTCAGGAGAAATTTTCATTACATGCCCTTTGGACCCTTAAGATCCAAGCACCAACAAGAGCCACTTTAAAGTGAAAATCCTCCAAGTTGAGGCATATTATTGGATGTCCTGTTCGGGTCAGACAGTGGTGTTGACACGCTGATCCTTCAGTGGTCCCCACCTGGTAACAAGACCAAACTTAACTCCTCACACATATAGCTGCATATTCCGTCGGGGTTTCTTTCACATTTCTTGCCTGTCTTGTATTCATTCTGATAATGGAATGGTTCAGGGAAGCATAAACAACGGCCTGTTTGTTTTCCTCCAAGTGTCGATTAGAATAAACTTCAGCCCCTTCTTCTGTCCTGAACCAAGGGTCATTGTCATAAATTTCAGCTTCTGATGGTGGTGTTTGGGAATTCTGCCTGGTACTCGCTTCCGTTTGCTCACTCCTAAAGGGCTGGATGACATCAACCTATAAGAAAAAAACAGATGTGATAATATATATTCATCAGCAAACTGTGAAAGGCCAAATGGTGTCATATAGTGAAAGAAATAACCTACGTTCTTCACAGATGCTGCCAATATTTACATATTTAGCAGACTCTTGATTATTAAAGGATGAACATTTTAGGGACCAGTGTATTCTTCCAAATAGTTATTTTATGCTTTATTAGGAATCATTCTTGAAGTCATACAGCATTTTTTTCAGTGTTGAGGAATGAACCCAGGGTCTTCACACTGTACCTCCTTTTTTGACAAAATTTCCTCAACACATAAATTTGGTCAGGCTAGGCTCAAATTTGCAATCCTCCTACCTCACCTCCCCAGATTGCTGGGATTATAGGCACATGCAACCATGCGTGGCTGAGATCACAGAACATTTTTCATTTGCTCTTCAAGATTTAAAAAAAAAAAAAAAAACAGCTGAAATTAAAGGGAAAAGAAAAAAACAGCACAGGAAAATCTCAGGCATCTTAGAATCCAGTTGGGTATGAAATGTATTGTGGAATAAAAAGAAACTAAGTATAAAAGAGAAGATACCCCCTATTATATTATCCAAGGTTAATTATGATTTGAGTCGTCAGATTGGAATATTGGTGTCAGTTTTAGAGTTGTATGGCTTAGATAAAGTTCTAAAATATCATTCTAATTTTTATTGTTACCGCAAGAATATTTGTACACTCTCAAGGAGGGTCAAATATCTAAGTGAACTTATGGCAACTAAAAATAAAATGTTTTCTATCAGTTGTTGGGCATTCCTAGCTGTACAAAAGATCTCCTCGGTAAAAATGAAGATATCATGTTAATGCTAGGGGTTATTCTTTCAATTTTTAAATCTCAATTTTGCTAGTCAATTTATGTTCTTAAAATTTGACCTGCCTCCCTTAAGTTATGAGGTCCGTAATCTTTGATAGCCCCCATAACCTTGTTTTGTCCTCTGTAATTTGTATTATAATATAATACGTGCAGCAGGATGTATAGTACATTTCAGCAGAGTTCTACCATACAAATGTGTCTGGCCCTATGCTAAGAAGTTAGGTAGTTACTGAGACACTACTTTCCTGTAATGAAGTAACCACTTAGCGTTAACGGTAAGGCCAATAATGGAAAGAAGCAAAGTTTGCTTCGCTAAGATGCAAAGTACGCTACCTCCACATAATAAAACCTGGCAAGTTATCACACAATACACTGAGGACTGTCAAGCGACCTGATAGACAGCTGGAGGTCTTCAATATATCAACAAGATTCCTGTCAGACTTTTCAACCTGTGTAAACCTGTCAATTCAGTTACTTGGTCCCTTTCTCCCAAGAAAACTGGCTCATTTCCACAGACAACTCTGTTGGAATGAACATAGTACTCTGCCTCTGAAATTCCTGTAACAACCCATCAAGGCCGTGGGTGCTACAAGACTGTTGCGCCATGATGTGGTAAATAGAGAAGACAGACAGAAACAGAGAACCCCTAACCAGCCTATGGTACTCTACTGTTTACAAAGCACTTTTAAAAAAACAATTAGAGGGGCTGGGGATTTAGCTCAGCGGCAAAAGCGCCTGCCTGGCAAGCGCAAGGTCGTGAGCTCGGTTCCCGGTACCGGAGAAAAACCAAAAAAAAAAAAAAAGAAAGAGTAAAAAAACAATTAGAGAGATAAAATCCACCCTTTTAATGCATAATTGAGAGTATTTCAGTGCACAGGTACTTTTGTACTCTCCCAAAATCATTTTGGAAAAAGATCAGAACTTTAGTTTTCATTTTTACTGATCAAATAAAAATCAAAATGGTTGCAGAATGGTCAAAGAGAAAGCAAGACTCTTTCCGTAAGCCTTAGAGGTTTGCTGAAAGGCATGAGTTGCTGTTTACTGCCTCAAGAACTGAAAATGAAACAATTTTTGGTACTTTGTCAATATTCTGTGGGCCTGAAAAAACTGCAGAGTTTGTCAACAGTCCGTCCTTGGCACGGATATTTCAATGGACTTGTAACCACACTGATCTGAGGTCGTTTCCCATGAGCCCACTGAAGCTTTACTTATCTCCAAAAACTGCTAAACTATGTGTTGCCTCTTCTGCTTTTTGTTATAAAGCTTGGATCCTGCCCCATCTCATGGGAACACTTGTCAGGTTCTTAAACTAAACATGTGTACCCTGGTTTGCAAATATCTTTTGCACCCAAGTAAAATTGTCTTTGCTTTCATTTTAAACTTGTTCATAATTTGTGGCTCACAGTATCCACCAGGTTTATAACAGTTCCCTTCTCTACTTTGGATTTTTCCCGGCTCCTTTAATAACTTCCTTCTTAAGAAATATTTAGTCCCAGGAACCTATAGTATCTGTTTATTATTTTCTGAAATGTTAAACACATCAAATGGGGAAAATACTTCAAATTCCTATCAATAAAAGAATACCTTAAGACAAATTTCCCAAATAGCTACACGTATAGAAAACCCCTTATGAATTCAACTACAAATCATAATTTTCTTAGCTTACACAGGAAAAAATATGATTGCAGCTTAACTCACTTCAGTTTTACTTGCAGAGTAAATTGCTTAGATTATCAGTTTAGTTTCATATTTTACAGACCTGATTGTGACAAAATAGATTTTTTTTTTAAATTGCCATTTACTTAGGAATAATGAAAATAGTATTTAAGAAAATTTCCCTATTTGGGAAGACAAGGCCTGAACACAGAACATAGTGGCTATTGGTCTTACCATCTTAATGTATGTTACCAAGATGAATGTCTTTGCCTTGGTTTAAAATTTGACAGCTCAGTGGGGAATGTTGAAGGACATTTAATATTAAATGTGGAATTATTGGCAATATATGCCTATGGAATTTCTGGAACATTCTAGAAGCTTACTTTCTCTTCACCTGTAGTGTTCCTTTCTGAAACACACACACACCCCAAATTCTTCATAGTGCCTCATTTGTGACTATTTTTAAGGAGTTTCAAGGTTTTTTTCACAAATATATTGCCTCATTTTTCATTCTTCCCTTAGCTCAAATAGCCATACAACTTATTCTCTAAGTAAGTTGTATTTAGAGAATAAGTTCTGAAAAAGAAAGAAAAGGCCTGAACTTATTCTCTAAATCTTATAGGCAAAATTGCCTCCCAAATGTCCTCTCCTAGGGCCAGTGATACGGCTCAGCATCACAGTGCCTGCCTGGCAAGCGAGAGGTCACAAGTTTGATTCCTGGTACCAAAAACGAAGGTGAATATCCTCTCCTTCATCTTCTTCCTTGATGTACTCACATACACTAGCAAGGACTTTGATTAATTACTAAGCCTGGGCTCATGCTTCTTTATATGCTCATACGTTTTATGAATAAATTTCATATTATGATTGTGTTATGATTTAGTGTGATAAATGACCCATCAGTGAGATTATTTATGGATTCATTCTTTCATTCTAACTTCTTTCCAAAAGACTTTCAGATGCTTTTTTTTGTTTTTGGTTTTTTGTTTTTTGCTTTTTTAAGACTGGGTTTCACTATGCAGTTCTGGCTGGACTTGAACTTTGTAGCCCAGGCTGGCCTCAAACTCACAGTGATCCTCCTCCCTCAGCCTCCCAGGGGCTGGGCGTGCACCACCACGCCCAGCAGGTGCTTCTGTGAGAATAAAAAATAGCTAAAGTCACATAACAGGCAAGAGCTGAGCCTCTAGACTTCTCTGTTTCACTCTAGGTTGCCTCCCATGCCCTAAGAACTATTGTTGCATTTTTAAAAACTGAATATCATCTCTTTCTGCCTCTCTCTCTCTCTCTGTCTATCTATCTATGTATCTATCTATCTATAATCTAGTGATCTAGCTAGCTAGCTAGCTATCCAGGTATCATACTTAGAACAGTGCCTGGATCATGGCAAGTATATAAACTGCTGAAAAACACATAAGTGTGGTGTAACACAAATTGTATCTGTCTTAACAGATACATCAAACATACCAGGTTAATTTCCCTTTCTGCCATATCAGAAGGTTTCTTTCTTTTCCCTGGAAGATAAAAAGAAAAGTGAGCAAAATGAGTAAAGAAAGTAAATGCAAGCCACCTTCCCGCTCCCACTCACCTACCTCCCTGCGTGCCGGCAACAGTGTCATTCATTTTGACTTCCCGATTTGCCTTGGCTATTATGTCAGGCACACTTCATTTGGCAAGAATTCATGTTGCCCGCTTCCCCCCCCAGCACTTCCCACAACACAGAGCTCTGTGTCAGCTCCAACAGGAAGAGCCAGATTCTAGTACTTCACTTTGAAAAAGTTGAAAGTCTTTGCTCTGGGGACATTTCATATACTTAATACTGTAAATATTCCTATCTTGTCACCCACAGAGCTGGAACCTCCTACTACCCAGCTTCACTTCGGATATGGTAAATCAAAGAATTTATCACTGCCTCTTTTTTTCTGAAGTTCCAAGAGAAGTTCTAGCAGCCTCAAGAAGATAATGAGAGGCTGGGGATTTAGCTCAGTGGCACAGCGCCTGCCTGGCAAGCGCAAGGTCATGAGTTCGATTCCAGGTGCCAGAAAAAAAAACAACAACAAAAAGAAGATAATGAAATCTGCAGACCAACCACGGAATGAGCCCTAGAGTCCCAAGGGAGAGTTGGGGTAGACAGGATTCTTCAGAAACATTAGAGGATCTGGACTCTGGATTTCTTTCCTCCTAAACACCAGAAGCACTTCTGCCCAGGTAAAGCTTTCTCCTGTCGAAAATGAAAAATACTTGCTATCCCAAGCTCACTTTCTATAGCTACACTGTATCTGATGTTGTGGGGGGAAAAAGCATGAGAAGGTAGGGGAGAGGAAGAAAAAGGAAAGATAGAAAAATGAAGTGGACATGACCAGAGATAGAGCAGAGTTCTTTATGTATCTCTTTCTGTGTTTAAGAGTTGGGTGGTGAAGAAATATTTACAAAAGTAGAAAGGAATTGTTTTCAAAATATTGCATCTCTCCCATCATAGCCAAACTCACATTTTCCAAATGAAGTATTTTTCTCTTTCAAACTTTTATGTTAATTACCACCTACTTGCTGTACATAATGATTAGATTCCATGTAGGGAGTTGGTACATGTACACGATACATTTATTTCTTTGACGTCCCCTTCCTCTGTCCCCCTCTCCTCTCTCCCTCCACCTCTTACTTTCCCTCCCATTTGCAAAAGACCTGTTTCCTATTATCTTTCATTTCAAATGCAATATTGTTGAGTGAGGGTTCAGTTCAAGAATGTGTTTATGGCGGAAGGACAAAGCATACACAAATGCGAGTTCCCTCTGGGGACACTGGTTCTTTATTTAGACAAGAGTGGGTGTGACTGGAATTATGCAGTATTTGTGAGAAAGAAGGTGGGATACACTAATTTAGACGCACTGGACTGAGAGATTATTTCAACTTCTCTTCCAACTCTGCTAAAGTTTAGACGAGCTCTTCCTCATACAAACCTACAAGTGACACAAATAAATCGGGAAAGTTTGGTCTGGATGCCCTCCTAATCACAGCCCCAGGTGGGGCACTGAGCCGTGGGAAACATGCCTCCTATGACCAGAGAGAGCCCAAATCAGTTCTTGTAGGCCTTTCAGTGAAAACATGAGTAGTCTCCTAGGAAATCATTATTCAAGGTTTATCATAGAAGATGGCAGAGGCAACAAAAGCAACTTAAAATCTTCCAGTCTCAGAAAAAAGAATCGCAAATATGTGATCCAGAGGGACAGAGGGAAAACAGAACCCACCTTGGTGCCTTCTCAGGCAGCAGAACAGGCAAAAACAGGCAATGACAAGCAGAGGAGCTCCCCCCAAAGGAAGCAAATTGTAGAGGAGCCATAGCCCTTCCGCCATCTCTTCTTTGGAGGGTGGTCCTGAGGCACTGGTTGCATCTGGAATTTAGTTAATGCTAAAAACAGTCAGGAAATCTGAGCTATATTCGGATCAGCAACATCCTTCTGCATTGTCAGAACCTGAACAAAGAAAATTTCAGGCTGGTGCTTCTGTTCCCCTTTGGAGGCCTCACTGCCCTCAAACACCTTTTTATCTTTTGCAAAACTCTTTCATTTTTCAAGGTTAATCTGTCGAACAATCTCCATAACAGCCCTTAAAAAGTACTTCACCAAGCCCTTTCTCTTTCTCTAACAATATCTAGCTTACTGCTCATATTTACCACCTGGAGAAATGAGAGAAGTCATTAGCTTTATCCTCTCCCGTGACTTAAGAAGAGTGTTATTGGTCCAAGAATTTCCCAAAGTCCAACATCTGCAGAGTAGCAGTTGGGATTCCACTAACGTGTTTCCCACAGTAAATTCACACTAACTGCCCTTTCTTTGTCTCCTAATTCATTGGTATCTCCAAGTACTAGACACTTATGCTTTCCCCAGATATTTCTTCCCTGGCATACAGTTACTGTTGATTGCTACTGGTCAGGGTTAATATGCATTAAGGCCCTATTTATTCACAGTTGGTTGCAATTTATATCTACCATATGAGAAATCTTAGTAGAACAAAAGTAACCTCTTTTTTGAAACCAAAAAGACAAACTAGAAAATATCAGAATGCATCCCACGTACTAGAGCAGTGATTCTCAAATGGAACGGTTTTGCCCTCCCACATCCCCTCTTCAGGTAACAAGTGGTAACGTCTGGATGTTTCTGATTGTCACAAAGTAGGTGGGGAGGGAGGCTGTCACATTGTGAGTGCAGGTCCAAACATCTTACACTCTCTCCTCACTGCAACAAAGAATTATCCAGCCCAAAAGGTCCATAGAGAGAAACCCCATCAGAAGTACGGCCCTGTGGAACTTTAAAAAAATGTGTACGTATTATGGATTATGATGTAAGCTCTATTTTTTATTTTGGGCTGCTGTTAAACAGAATGAAAAGTATGAAGTAAAGCATTCTGTTATAACTCATATGATTTCTTTCCCTAGATACATCATTTTGGGGGTAAAAATGGTCACAGGCAATGGAAGCTGGAGATATAGTGGCGATATAGTAGGGTAATTCAGAGTAGTGACAAATGCCATACTGTTCGTGCTGCAGCTGCTTGGGTAGGAGACAAACCATTGAGTAGCAGACACACACAGCTGTCTGGGGGAGGGATTTCGATAGCGAACAACAGATAATCTAATACAAACAAATCTTCCCAATTGAGAAAAAACTAATTTGTATTATTTCTGTATCCAGTAAACAACCCTGTTAATTTTATGTGATTAGTTTGGTACTTACTTATGAGAGAGTGTTCTGAATTATTCTGAGCCTGTTCTGAAATAGAAAAACAATATTAAGAACTGAAATTGTTTGAAAAAACAGTGAGGACGTAAACTCAGGTAGTGCTAAAGGCAGAGTCCCTCTTGGAGAGGACTCCAGGGTTTGCACGCTAATAGGGAATCCAGTAATCCAGCCCAATTCGGTTTGCATAATTCGTGGGTCATTGCTTTGAAGTGTTGGAACCTGAAGTAAATCCTTGAGTTAGTTTCAGGCTTAAAGAAAGACTAAAAATACAACATAACCTTCATACGTCTGCTTTGATTCCTTCTGCCTCTGCCACCTGCAATAACAAACACATATTCAGCAGGTGCTCCAAAGGAGTGGAGAAGGCCACAAGAAAAGGATGTTGTTGGTGACATTCCAGGAGCTCATCTGCAACAGACTGTGTGTCTCACTCCACACCAACAAAGACTACGTCACCATTGTGAAATTCCTAATCAGAGACTGAACAGGGGCAGGTTGAGAATACATTGCAGGCCAGCGTGTGTTCCAGTGACTGTTCTCCAGTTTTGTCAACCTTTCCTTGAGGTTGCTTTGTTTTACACAGTGCTTTCTTCATTCCAGGAGATCGCTGCTTTCCCAAGGGCATCTGAGGCTCTACCCTCTCATACACCTACTCTTATACAAACCAATTCTTATGACCATCAAAGAAGAATCAGATACAAAACCAAAAAATCCTAATATTCCTTTAAAAAGATAGTTCAGATGGAGAAAATAAAATATTTCTTTCCGTATCCAAATTTTATGTATGAAAATCGGGGTCCTTAAACATAATTCTGGAGCATATTTTTCACCCCACCCTTATTTCACTGAGCGCTCTCAAATTCAAGGAAAGGAATGTTTCTTTGACCTTTTCACCATTTCACTGAAAGAAAACCCACACCCAGTTTAAATTTAGGCTGATTTCTAAATAATTTATTTGACTTTTGCAAGAGAAACAAGGACAGCTCAAAGAAATGTGATACAACTCCCACTTTCCAGGACATTATAATCTCTTATGAAATTTCAAAGACATTTCCACATGTTACTACAGTGAAAGGAAATATGTATGTTAAATGAAAGGTACAAATCTTGAATGGCATAAAAACTGGTGGAAATCCCTTCCCGTAGGGTGAATGTCTTCCTTGAGAACTTGGATAATGAGCTAGACTTGAAAGAAGGGATAGGATTTTGATACGTGGAGACAGATGAATGGATGCCCTGCAAGTGGAGAAAATGGTACCAGAAGAGTCATGGTAAAGACGTAGCAATGATAAGCAGCACTGTTAGGTTGGAGTTGACAGGTTCTATGTGGAATCCAGCAGCAACCCAGAAAAGTAGATGGTGATGAACTGTGGGAACTATGAATGCTGCTTGGCAAACATGATCCCCATCTTGTGAACAATAAAGACGCTTTCTAGCAAATTCAATAGCAGAGTAACGTTATGGAAAAAGTATTTTAGGCGAGTACATAATATACAAGAAAGATCACTGAACTAAAATGGTAAATGCTACAGATAAGAGGGCTAGTCATACCATTAACTGGAATCATTGAGAAAGGTCTGAGATGCTCATGAATACTATCATTGGGAACATGCCACAGGGTGGGAGGTTGTTGACAGGCAGGAACAGAGAGCCAAAGCTGACACCTGGGGAATTCCCAGTGGAAGTCAAAAGCAAGAATTTACAAGGTGATCATTACGAAAGGGCCTAGTAAAAAGGGTAGCAGCGTAGGAAATTGGGAAACTAAGAGTAGAAATCATCAAAAGGAAAACAAGGCCCGTCATGAAGTCTTTTATTTTTTAACTCTTAGACTTTTTCACTACTTCATTCTTCATACTCTTCGTAACAACAAAAAATAACTCCTTAGAACATAGGATGTAGCAGGAAATGCTTTTCTGTCTGGGTTCTGCTATGTAGGATTACGATCTGGGGGTTCATCTATGTTGTGGCATGTATCAATACTTCGTTCCTCTTTACGCCTGCATAATATTCTGCTCTGTGGCTGTACTACATTTCTTTTGTCCATTCAGCAGGTGATAAGCATGTAAGTTATTTTTACTTTGGGACTATTATAAATATTACTATTATAAACAGATATAAATTTGGTGTGGAAATATATTTTATTTTATTTAGAAATTTTAAATTAGTTCATGTTTGCCATAGATAATATTCACATTCCTTGTGAGGAGTTGGTACATGTACTTAACACAGCTTAATTCTTTTTGAAGCCCTTTCCCTCCCCTGCCTCCCCTTCCAAGCTGAGAAAGATCTATCTCCCTACTTCCTGTTATCTTAGTTTCACCTGGGTATTCACTGAGCTATGCCATTCTTGGTTCTGTGGCAACGAGGTTATGAAGAATTTTCAGACTGTTTTCCAGAGCAACCACTCCAGTTTATATTTCAATAGGCAATGTAAGAGTTTTAAAATTTCTCTAGGTACTTGCTAAAACTTTTTTAAATTTTCATTTTTTGTTTAAATTCTGGTCATCCTACTGAAACTGCAGTAGTATCTATCTTGTTGTAGTGTAGATTTGGCTTGCATTGAGCACTTTTTAATTTTCCATTGGATATCTGTATATCTTTAATGGAATGTCTATTCCAATCCTCTACTTATTTTTTAATAGGGTTGATTGCCTATTTGTGCTTAATTGTAGGAGTTTGTTATATATTCTAGGCTATGGTCTGATTTGCAAATATCTTCTCATGTTCTGTAGATTGTCTTTTTACTGTCTTGATAGTATCCTTTAATATAGAAGAGTTCTTAATTTTTGATGCCTAATTCATCTGTTTTTGTTGTGATTTATCATTTTATAATCATATCTAGGAAATTATGAGTAAATCCAAGGTCAAAAAATATATAGTTTTATATATAGGTTTATAATTCTATGCAGATATAGTTTTTAGTTCTTATATTTTTATTTTAAAGAGAACAAAACAAAATTTCAAAACAAGATAATTGCATATTGTCACCTTTAAATTAGTTACTCAGAGTACATACAAGATAGCAGCATTTAATTGTCCAAACAATATTAGCATAAACCTTTCTTTTCAATGAACAAGAACTTACTAGTATAACTATCTTAAAA